GTAAAAAAAACCGTACTGTCAATATTGTTGTTTAGTAATTTATGCAGGAATTTTATACCAAGCATATCTCTCTTATTTTCCAAATATGTCATATCAAATCGTGTAAACAAAATGTTATGATCGATGCCTCTCGTGGAGTATTGACCATCAACTTTTAGATATAAGTATTTTAGGAACTTCCTTTGCACGCTCTCAATTGATGTTTTTTGGTAGTCGTAAACTGTATTCCGTAACACAGAGTCATACTCTAACTTAAATCTGGATTACGCAAAATATAGCAATTTTGAAGTGGCAATACTTTTGAAGTTTTTGCCATTTCTGTAAATGAATTCAAGCATCCTATTTGCATCAGCAGTCATATTCCTTATATAGGTTGTAAATGTTAATTTACTGTCATATGTTATAGCAAGATCTTTTATCTCATGTACGCGGTTGATTGTAGTATTGTTGATTAATAATCGTACATTAAATTTTGCTTTTTTGTTGTAAATGATATTATTTTACATTTGGATACATTCAGTTGTAGATGATTATTATTACACCAAAGTTTGATTATATCTAATTCATATTGTACACGTTGGCAGTCAGTGATGTCGTCGATTTTATAATATAGTTTCAGGTCGTCTGCAAATAGTAGGCAAGGAATATTCAAAGAGGTTGCCAAGTCATTAGTAAAAATTTAAAATAAAAGAGGTCCAAAATTAGAACCTTGTGGTACCACAGATGTAACTACGTACTGAGTCAATTTGAAAGATTCATATTCGACGAATTGTTTTCTGTTAACTAGATTTTAATCAATTAGAGTAGGCAGTTGGTTAGAGAGTCCCAATTTTGTCAATTTGCTGAGAAAAACATAATGGTCTATTTGATAGAAGGCTTTTTGAAAGTCTAAATGAATAACATCGACTTGTTTTTGCTTGTCCAAAGAATAAGGTGAATTTTAATTTTTCTCAAAAAATATCCATTTATTCATCAATTTCTATTTTATTACCTCCAAAATTGCTTCCTCCTGTATAATATACTTGTGCCAGCGTTTTTTCCAATCTTAGAAATAGTTCTAATATGCACTTTTTGATATGTACAAGAGCTCTCTCAGAGATTCGGTTTCATCTCCTCAATCGTCGCAAATCGCCGTTTTTTATGGGTTTTTTCAATTTCGGTAACAGCAAAAAGTCACAGGGGGCCAAATCTGGTAAATACGGTCGATGAGGCATGATTAGTTTTTTCACGATATCGGACATCTTCTTTGTATTGCTTCTCACAAGCGGCGCCTAACTTCAAGATAATAGGTACTCCTTATTAACCGTTCGACCATGTGGCACTACGCTACGGTAATTGAAAAAAAACTCATATGAGCATATTCCTTTTTGTCTTTGAGGCCCGATTTTAATAAACTGTTGTATAACACAATGTTGCTGTACATCATGCAATTGATTTCAAATGATAAATAAAAACTTTCTAGTATTTCATTCCATGAACTTCATTCAACTCTGAAGATAGTCAGAAAAGTTGTTGAATCCCCCCCACAAGCACTGTCTACTTCACTAGTATCAGCAGGTGACCAAAGAGATGATACTCATACTCTGGTAGCTGGTGTCGTGGAAATGGAAATTTTCGTTCAATGAGAGTTTAGCTGATTTCAGGAGGAGTAGGCAACTCCACAGGTAGTGAAACGCTTTTGAGCGTTTTGTGACTTGACACCAAGGGTCTCAATCTGCCCACTCCACCGGTCTCGTTAGTGGTCTTCGCAAGGGTTCAATCTGACTACTCCCAAGCAACGCCGATGTGAGTCGACAGTTGACTGTCCATTGGACACGAACGATATATATGCCAGCCTGGACTTGATATCTTTGTACCCCAACGTACCAATAAATAGAGCATTAGACCAGATATCCATGAATGAGGACATACCAGTTCACGTAATCGAACTCTCTGACCACTATTTCAGCTTTAACAACAGACTTCATAGACAGATAGAAGGTGCTCCAACACTTTTCCATTACCACCTGCTATCTCCAACTTATCCATAGGCTATTTCGAAACCTTGAACAACCATCGATGGAACTCATGGCTGAGATACATGACCTCATGGACATGAAGAACTTCGTGGCAAACCTAAATTCACTCCTCTAAAAATCCAGTTCACCACAGATATAGAAAAAACAACTAGTGACATCTGTCATGCTACAAAAATACAGGCGTTAGCCACAACCTGTGTTTCCAGAACTTAACGTCTAATAGACAAAGACATGAAATATCAAGAAATGAAAGACATACAAAAAGCTCTCCAGCAAAATGGATATAAAAAGCATACGATCTACAAAGCAACAAACCGACGAAAGAAGGAAAACAAGGTGGAAACGAACACGAAGGAAACTAGAGCCATTCTGCCCTACGTCCGTCGAGTAATAAATAAAATGAGAGAATTTTTTAAAACGATACAACATAACAAACAACATATGAACCAACTAGAATCAACAGATATTCTATGATTAACCCCAAAGACAGATTGAACATAGAAAACTGAGGCATATATAAAATCGCACCTGGAGATCGCAGCGATGAATACGTCGGCCAAACAAATAGGCAAATGTCAGTCAGATCAGAAGAACACAAACTCGCACTTCACAACAAACAAATAACCTCAGCCCTATACAAATACCATCCTGATACAGGTCATGGCTAGAATGTGTGCCTTTCCTAAAACAGCCCACAACATTTGAGATTACCCCAGAAAACTCCACAATATTATAAAACATAAAGGAATGTTGTTAACGTTTGAGAATGGTATGGCACGTTTTAGATATTCCAATAACGTCCCAGATCATTATAAATATACCAGAATAGTTTCGAATGATCTGGAATATTAGGAACTATTCGAATCTTTTTTTGTATGGGGAAACGCTCATCTATCGGAACCGATCTATAAATCAAAATCCGTTGGCCTCTTATGAATTTAGGTTCACCCTTTTTTCTACCACACAATCTCATACCAGTCATACCAATTCCCTGAACGAAGCCGGAAGCCCCAGCTGGTTACCAATAATAATAACCCATGGTGCAATTCACCATAACGGAAGTGTTTTATTTTTGAGGTGGCTATGTATCATCTACCTAAAGACAACAAAAAAGGAAAATGCTTAGGTTAGGTCCGAAGTGAGTGGGTCTATTCGACCCAAGATAGACCCGCAAGGGTTAATTGTGGCTCACACTTGCGGGTTCATTATGGCTCACGTCTATTCACACCTATTCTTGATGAAGCCGATTAATTTGTATGGTGAGTGGTCTTTCAGGCCAGATGGTGAGAGAACGGCTCTGCCGAACTCTCAAAACCTGATTCGGTCCCAAGCGGGACAGCCACAAAGTATGTGCTCTGCTATTTCATACACTGTCTATCTACAGTTCTAGTCTCTGCATATGATGATTAAAATGACAGTGACCTGTAAGAAGGCATGTTAGATATCGTAGTTCATCTCTACTGTAGTCCAACAACTGTTTGGTATCAAGAAGGATGAATAAACGAAGTGTGAAAAAACGCCTTGGAGTGAGCCTATCCTGGAAGATTCTGTCAGAAGTTCATAAATCTTCTTGCCATCCAGGTGTTCAGTCTTTGTTTGGCAAAGCCTAAAGCGATGCCAATGACAGGTTCTGGCCCAATGAAGCTGCATGCAGCACCCTTCTTTACAAAAGATTCGGCAGCCTCATTGCCTTCCAGGCCAGTATGGCCAGGAATACAGACCAAAAACCAAAGTCTTCCTATCGAGGAGAGTCGTTTTTTGCAATTTGCTACCAATTCAGACGTTTCTCGCAGCCAAGAGCTTCCAATGTCGCTTGACTGTCCAAGAATGTTTTATTGACTTGTGTAAGAGGTTGGATTTTTCCAATCTCTCCGCATACAAGTCAATAGTGTAAATTTTCACTTAAAATACAGTTCCTAGGCAGGTTGATGTCTCTGTCCTGGGTCTGCGACTGAAAACACTTGCACCAGAACCGAAAGGTGTTTTTGATCCATCTGTGAACCAACATTTATCTGTTCTTGATATTTCCTTCTCCTGAAAGATCCAGTCCTCTCTACTCGGGAACAGTACTTTGTGAGGCAGTTCGTAGTTATAGTTGCAGGAATAAAGTCAAAGGTCATTTTCAGAATGCTGTGATTCCAGTGTCAACCAACAGTCTGTTGCACTCTGCATTGAATTGATTTGTGCAATTGACAATGTGCACAAGTCTATATGCAGTTCATCCAGCATCTAGCCTCTCTCTCCAAAAATCTGTGGAGAGGAGGTAGATCTGGAAGGATCTCCATGGCCGCTGACGATGTGGTACTGATGGCCAGACAAGCCTGTCTTTGTAAGCCAGAGAGTTTCGCCTGGCCGGTTTCCTGTAAAGCCTTCGGCCACAAGGAAATTGCTCCATAAGTGATCATTTGTTTGACAACAATCACATAAATCCAATGGATTTGTTTGGGATCTAATCCCCAAGTTCTACCACAAATCCTTCGACATCATGTCCATAGGGACAGTCTGGATTGGAGTAAAACTTTTTCCAAGTGAGCGTTCCGGGTGGGTTTTTCTATCATGGACAATGCCAAGATATTTCACCTCCGTTCCAAATGGAATGACCTCACCATTGAGGAAAAATGGCGTTAGATCGTCCACTTTTCTCCTCCTGGTGAAGGGGATTATCACAGTTTCGCTGCAATTCCCACCTCCAAAATGATTCGCTACATGAAACGCAACTGCAGCATTTCTCAACCTCGCGTGTCGCATCAGATTGTCTGACTATTTGAACACATTTTCAAACACGATACTTTTAATTTTGCGGTAAACCCTAATAAATGGTATAGTTTGAAGCAAATATACTGCGCATGAAATGCTTAAGGTAAATAAATAGCTTTCCAACTATCACAATAATCTATAGTAGCATTAGTGTCAGTTATCATTTGCATTATTACTGACTTGAATTGACAATGCATTTCATTTTTTTCAGCTCCAACGCTTAACTTCAGAAGGGCAATGAACAGAGGCAACATCAATGCAAAAAAGCTAAAACTTCCGAATTCGGACTTCAGAATCAAAGAAAAATATAAGACAGATCTCATCCCAAAACCAAAGTATATAGACTCCCATCAATTGCTTTTCAATACGTCACCTGCAGACGGATTGTGTTGTCGTCACGTATGCCAAAAATACCGCCACCATCTTGATAATACCAGACGAACTCTTGACAAGGAAAACAATTTAGAATATAACAAAGGAAATTGTTCCCAAACGGACTACATAAGAAACAACTTGTGCATCAAGTCCGGAATAGGAAATCACGAAGTGTTCGGATTTGAGATGAAGAAAGTGAGCTTTCGAAATTATAGACCTAAGATTCTCAATCAAGAAACGAACTTGGGAATGTGGATATAATGGAGAAGTAGTGATCATGATTCTTAGTCAATACCGAGGCTACAAATAAAAATTCAGAATTGAAAAGTAATAATTTCTTGAAGGTAAGTCACTGTTGTATTATTAAGTCGGTACCATTGCCTTCGTTATTATTGATGCTACTAATTCAGTTAAATAGAAAAACTAGTAGCATTTTCAATGACCTCCTCGATGCCGAAAACAAAAAATATGACAGTCGTGTTTTCAAAGAATTTCATGAAGTGATGTGTTTTTAAATGGAACACCCAATATTTTATCATGCATTTCGATTCGTAAAAACATTCTCAACAACAAAGCTCATATCACCTTTCTTCCTACAGTTGAAACTTTAATTAAGATGCCTTGAAACTTTGTTGAAATACTATTTGTTAAATATTCTCAATTATATCATGACAATATGTCATAAACTATTGTAACTGACAACTACTGTTCCATTATTTTTCGAAATGCCGTTTTCCCATCAAGAAAAATGTGATATGTTACGAGGGGTTTACCAAATAAAACATTGTAGTAGGAGTTTTTATTACCGCCAACAAAATATTTTGAAATTTCAATGTGGTGCGTTGATTTATTGGAGAAGTGTATGTTCTTCTATGATCAAACACTACAAGGTCTGTGATTTTTCATTAATCATAATTTCTTCTACCCAGTGGAGTAAAATGACCACTCTTCACATTCGAAGAAGGCGAAGACCGTTCTTCAGCCTCTATTCATAATATAATGAATAAATGTATATATACCTTAAACATTTTGTATGATGCCTGATTATATACAATTCCATTTTTCTTCATTCATAAATCAAACTAAGGGAAAAATTGGAACACATATTGAGAAAAGAGAATGAAGATCAGTTCAGGTCTTTCCAACACAACTTTTATCTGAATCATATTTCTTGAGAAAATATTTTCAGATAATTTTGTTTTTCAGATTACCAGTTACAGTTAACTAAAGACAAAATGTCAATGTTAGCAGCAATGGGACAAGTTGCCAATTTTGCAATTGGAATAGCAGCGAACCCATTCGCTTTTTTAGGACTAGTTCCCGTGTTTGCAGCAGCGTTGGCCTTCATGAGATACCTTGCAGTAGACCCGGAAGCTCATCCTGTGAACACTAGACATGTGAGTATATATTTTTTTATAATTCCCAAAAAAAAAGGAATTATAACGTTTCATGAAAACAATTTCTTATCGCTCGTAAACCAAAATCAAGAAATTGTTTCATATGTATGTCAAACTCGTCATATCGTATTGACTAACCTGAAGTAAATTGTAATCCATTACATTACATATACATGGTGATTCAAAAGTACTTTGACAAAGTTCAGGAGGTGATTCCTCACAATATTCTAATATGAATTGTTCAAACAAATAAATGTCCGGAAACGCTTCGTTTCCAAGATACAGGATGTTGAAGTTTTATTTTCATTTTCGTTTTTTTCAAATAACTTTTGAAATACTGAACTTAATTAAACGAAACTTGGTAATAGGAGGTTTTTGAGGTGTCGAATTCGAACCTGATGTTCTTATTGCTCTTACTCGTAGGGGGCGCCACCTNGGTGAAAAGCATGAAAGTTGTAAGTGTTTTGCATTACCGGCGATTTTCTACTGACGAAAAGAAATGGATATATCGAGTTGATCATTCAGAAAAAAGAAATTTGGAAATGTTTTCCCTCATCCCAAAACTCAAGTTAATCTTTCTATGAACATTCTAAATGTTGACATTTCTTGCAAATTTTATGAAAACAAATACTGATTATGCACCCTTGATACAAAAATAACTATTTCGCTTAAGGAAGTCATAAAGGAACGTACCCAACAGTAATGACCTCTTTAAACGAGTAAAACGTCAAATTCATTTCCAAAGAATTCTTGTGAAAAAAGCAAAATATTCGTAATAACTTCAACATGCATCGATTATCAAATAATCGACTTGAAGTAGGCCCAAAAAAGTTATGAATCTTTAAAAAAGAAAAAAACGTGTAGGTGGCGTAAGAGCAATAAGAACATCAGGTTCGAATTCGACACCTCAAAAACCTCCTATTACCAAGTTTTGTTTAATTTAGTTCAGTATTTCAAAAGTTATTCGAAAAAAACGAAAATTAAAATAAAACTTCAACAACCTCTATCTTGGAAACGAAGCTTTTCCGGACATTTATTTATTTGGACAATTCATATTAGAATATTGTGAGGAATCACCTGAAGTTTGTCAAAGTACTTTTGAATCACCCTGTGTACACTGTTGTTAGCAACAAGTATTATATTGTTTCGATAATTTCCTCCGTTTTTATGTATCAAACCAAGTTTTGATAATAAACTCCACATCGATCCAATCGATTCTTTCAACTTTTGAGTAATTCTACCTAAAAACGAACTAGAAATGATATACTTCGATTCTAGATAATTTTCTAAAATATTTTCAGGTAAGATCGGAATACGATTTCATAGTCATAGGGGGAGGTTCAGCTGGAGCAGTCGTAGCTTCCAGGTTATCCGAAATAGCAAACTGGACCGTGCTTCTCGTTGAAGCAGGAGGTGATGAAAACGAAATATCCGATATACCGTCCTTGAGCGGATATACCCAAATGTCGTCAATGGATTGGATGTACCAAACGTCTCCTCCTGCAGAATCGCCATATTGTTTAGCGATGATAGGAGATAGGTGTAACTGGCCAAGGGGTAAAGTATGTAATTTTTAATTTGATATTCATGTTAATTTTTTATTCCACGATAGATCTTATAGTCCCAACTACTAAGCTCTCTACGATCATTATCTCTCGGTGATATCGAAGTAGGAATTATTAAGTTGACACGGAGGCCTGTTCTCCTGAAACAGCTACTTTCATATAAACATTGAATTACACGAAAGAAAAAAATTCTTTCGAAACAAATACTTCTATATGAACACTGAATTATACAGAAGATACTTTTCTCTACTCAGTTTGTATTTCAAACATTTGTTGTGGAAT